AAAACAGTTCAGGTCTATATACAAGGCCCACACATCACTCTGAGAAGGTAGAAAGCTCTGAAAAGTTGATTTTGCATGAGATGGGCCCTTTAAGTAATGAAATAGTACACAGACTACCGATTTAGAACGACGCGGTGCCCAGTGGGAGCTGACGTCTCCGTAAACATTATTCATGAACAGTCGATGTTACAGATTTATTGGTGCTGGTGTGTACATGGCATCTGCACTGACACCAGTCTCAGGGCTTCTGGGGGACACTATCTAAATAAAATGTAAACATTCTTCTGTGGCTTCCTTTCCATCCTGTCTGGAGTGGAGATATAGATTTACAGACTCGTGCGCTCTAAAGGAAAGCAGTGAGAGGTTTGTCTATGTGGGATACATGACGAGTATTTCATGTTTCTACTGAAGTCAATGCAAACGGGTTGTGATCAGTCCAGAGCAGCACTTATCACAACATTCACGCTCAAACAAGCTGACACATCTGCTTTGCGTCATATGTACCTCAGGAATGATTTAATAATGTGTGATGCACTCAAAAGAAACACGGATTCTGCATTTAAAACTAAATATGAAGTTTATTAAAGGGACAGTTCAGAATTTTTAACATAGGGTCTCATCTCCTCGTGAGCCAGGGTACTGTAGATATGTGGAGACACTTTTTGAAATAATCCATCCAGTCCTTGTATTTGGAGAGGTTGTTGATGCTAGGCTAGTGCATGTCAATGGCCATAGTTAGCCTGCCACTAAAAACACTCTTACTCATTCCACAAAGCTCCTGATGCAAATCTATTATTACACCAGACTGTCCATGTGAATGTCTGTGTTGATAGAATCATTTTAGAAGTAAAACTAACCTTGTATCGCATGAATCGTTGCACGTTGAGGGACTATTTTCTCAGCAGCAGTGGAATTTTACTCTGCTCTAGTTAGTTGTGATGATATGTACATGGTCATATCTGGAACAGGCTTCTTCGCTATGGCAGCTGCAGGTAAACAAACTATTACAGAGCTGTTAAGATAGGTGCTAGGTGATATTAGTCCGCCACTGCAAAGCTTTCTATCAGGAAGTACAACTCACTGCTGCTGCTCAGACATAAATCCTTCAAATGCAAGGTTGGTTTTACTTCTAAAATTATTCTGTCGACACAGACATTCACATGGACAGTCTGGTGTAATAATAGATTTGTTTCGGGTGTTTTGTGGAGTGGGTAAGAATCTTTTTAGTGGGACGCTAACTGTGGCCATTGACATGCACTAGCCTAGCATCAACAACCTCTCCAAATACAAGGACTGGATGGATTATTTCAAAAAGTGTCTCCACAGATCTACAGTACTCTGGCTCACAAGGAAATGAAGCCCTATGTCCAAAATTCCAAACTGTTCCTTTAAAGCTGGGTCCTTGCATCGCCCCATGTGACATATCACCACCAACAGATCCATAACACCGGCAACACAGTGGATATCTGCACATCACGCTAACGAGCAGTGGATTTTTAAAAATTTGTACCAAAATGCCTGTACTATGCTGTTGAATGCGACACATTTCACTGATGATAAAATAAAACTGTTGAATAAAGTAAGTGCGTGACAGTGGGCGTGTGCCAGTAGCAGTGAACACAGGGCACAATCAGCGATATAGCGTCTTGAAAATAAGTGACTCAAACATGCACGAATGACTTCAAATACAAACTCCAGAGGGTCAATGAGAACAGGGAACAGCTATAACATGATTAAAAGCTCTGAAAAGTCGATCTTGAAGAGTAGGTCTATAAGAGTGAGGACACCAGAGAAAGTGAGACGAGGATGTGAGGAAGTCCGAACGGAAGATGCTGTGACAGACTAATGGAGCAGTAAAACTACAGTAAAAGCCCTGTGTGTGTGTCCACCACAAGAAACACGTGCAAAAAAAAAAAAAACAAGAAAGCAGAAGTGAAGCACTGAGAATCCACCTGAAAAAAACAGAAATCGGTATCAACCCCCCCAGAGTATGACGTAAAATCACTGGCAAAATCTAATGAATAATATAGTGATTTATCTAATGCAAAAACAGAATATTGTTAAATCTCCAAAAAGTCCATTGTGCATAATGTGTCCTTTAAAGGGCCCATCTCATGCAAAATAACTCTTTTCACGTTGTATCTTCTGCACATAAACAAGCACAATTTGGGTTTTGGAACATCCATTACACAATAGTTCTGAAATCTTACTGATTTCTGCTCATCCCCCCACCCATCCTGAGAAAGCACAGGCTCCGCCCTCCAAACGTGACGTAGGCGACGAGTGAGCCGCCCTTCCTCCGCCCATCTCAGGGAGGGAGGGGGAGTCAGAAGGCAGAATTGGGCAAACTTGAATCCTATAATAATGTTAGATCAAATTATGTCATCATAATCTGTAGAGGCAACTACTAAACATCAGTGGTTGTAATGACTGAGGTGTAAGGTGTAACTGCCATTTTGTTATCGTACAGAAGCATTGAAGACGACTCAGTAGAATAAAATTATGCCCTAAGTCTGTTGTTAGTATCAATGTAATATCGTAGGACTATGTAACGTTTATCAAACTAAAATAGGTAGAACAAGGGAGATGATGTGCATATTAAAATGATATGTCGGATAATCTTAAATGAACGCTGCAGCTTGTTTTTAGTTCTCTTCAGCAGTTTACTAGTGGTAAACTTACAGCTCTAGGACCATCACTGGACCCTGGAAACAGCATCCTTTTCCAAAGTGTCGTTTCTGCTTCGTTTTAAGTCCAGTTTTAAAATAGCCGTAGTTCTTGAAGCGTTTTCGGTGGAGTGTCGCTCGCAAACAAAAATATTCTTGGGGACCTTTTTGTCTGTATTTCCAGAAATAAACTCTAGCCACTTAGCATGCCTTGCTTCTTCTGTCGGCAAGCTAAATCATTTCGACTTGCCATCGGGGGGCGGTGTGAAGCTCTTTTTGCTACGTCAAACGCATCATAGGTGTATCTGGCCGCGTCATCGTTGTAGCAGCTTTAGTTCGTTGTCATGTGGGAGGGTGACAGAAATATGCTGCAACTTGTTAAAAAAAACACTGAATCAATCTAAAAACCACTTGGGTGACATATACAAGGCCCACACATCACTCTTAGAAGGTAGAAAGCTCTGAAAAGTTGATTTTGAATGAGATGGGCCATTTCACTTTCATCATTTCCTGTTCTAACTTCCCTGAATCACCCTCCGCCGCCCTGGTTAAAGGTGCAGGTTTATTACAGGTTTGCACGGCCCTGCGGAGCCATGTAGAGAACTGTAGAGTAGAGTGTAGGATTGTGGGTAAGACGAGAGGAGGTGTGTGGATGATGGATGGTCCGGAGCGTGAGGGCGCCGTGACAGAGCACGGAGGGCACACAGCTGACCTTAAAAACACACGATTTATGCCGCGGCGTTCACACAGGAGCAGAGGGTCAGACAGAGAGAGATATGAACCATCCATCTGCTCGGCTTTTACAGACGTCTTAAAAGAAACACGAGTGTGGACAGTGGCACGGCGGTGACAGCTCCTGCCTCACAGCGACTTGCTCTGTGGTTTAATACTTGGATTGTACGAGGAGACGTTTTGTGCCGATTTTTGTCTAAGTGGGTTTTACTTAAAGCAGAGTTATTATGCAAAATGGACTTTTCAGAGCTTTTAAATGTTATAGTTGTTTACCCTCATTTGCCCTCTCAATGTCTGGAGAGATTTGTGCATGTTTGAGCAATCTTTAAGTAGGCCAAGCTGAAGCCCAAACACAGACGTGGGAGTGAGGCAAGTTAGATTCTCATTTCGAGTTTATGAACTTACAAATACTGTGGGAATTAGATCTTATTATAAATTACTGCTCACACATTTACGCATAAGCAAGATGTATGAAAGAGCCTACAGGTGGAAATGAACACTAGTGCAACAACGTGGTACAATGCATCTCTCCCGTTAAGGTGAACAGTGTTGGGAGTAACGTGTTATAAAAGTAACGAATTACTGTAATGCGTTGGTTTTTGCTGTAACGCAATAATGTTATGGCATTACAGGGAAAAAAGTGGTAATATTTTGCTCAGTACAAATGTTACAATGCTTTTTTAACCTGGATTGAAGTGGTGGGTTTTTCGTTTTTCTTCATATAAATTTGCTAAAATCACCGTGATGTCAGCAGCAGTGAAATGCCGGAGGTGCGCCCGCGTACACCGTGATCACGAGTGAAAGGACCGACGCAGAACTCCACGTTCCACGGAGCTAAACGCAGCTGACGCCCGATCGCGCTCGGGGTTCTCTCAGAGGAGCTCCTAGATTCCAAGTTCTAGTCCAAGATTAGTCCTGGTTTTGTCCTGATTTAGTCTTGGTTTAGACATGGTTTAGTCGTGGTTTGGTCCTGGTTTTGTTCTGGTTTAGTTCTGATTTAGAACTGGATTAGACCTGGTTTAGTCCTGGTTTAGTTCTGGTTCAGTTCTGGTTCAGTCCTGGTTTAGTCCTGGTTCAGTTTTGGTTTACTCCTGGTTTAGTTCTGGTTCAGTCCTGGTTTAGTCCTGGTTTAGTTCTGGTTTACAGTCCTGGTTTAGTCCTGGTTTAGTCCTGGTTCAGTTCTGGTTCAGTTCTGGTTTAGTCCTGGTTTAGTCCTGGTTTAGTCCTGGTTTAGTCCATTTAGTCCATATACGGCCAAAAGTTCAGCATCTTCACAGTTATTTTGATGAGAGTAACTTAAACGTGCTGTAATAGTCGTATAATGCCTTGCATTTTAAATACAGTAATATTGTAACAAATGACTTTGAAATGACAGAAACAAGTCATAAATAACACATTACAGTTTTAAAGTAACTTGCCCAACAGTGAAGGTGAATGTAGGTTAAGTCAGTATATTGTCTCATTAAGTAAATAAACCGAATATTGTTGCACAAGAAGACAACAAAAACACGCAACAGCAAAGATTCTGCCTCTATTTCTCTATATAAAGTGTGATTTTAATCCTTTTCCACAGCAGAAGTACAAAGTGAAGCCCGTCCTCACCAGTGCTGTTGACACACTGCACCAGAGCAGTCTGTGTGCCCGGCCCACACGGCAGATCTCCCTCTGGGGCACACTGCTCCAGCCCCAGGACCCTCCAGCTCCAGCAGGACGGCTCCTCGCAGGGCACCGCCTCCACCAGGTGAGGACAGCTGCCCGCTCCTCCGCTGGGCACGTTCACGATCTCACGCCTCCGCAGCTTAAACCCTGCGAGAGAAGACATAACAGAAACTTTTAACTAAATACACGGGTGAATAATGCTCATGTCACAGTTACTTATTGCCTCGTCTTATTTGTTTGGATGGCTGACAAGCGATAAAAAGACAAAAACCTCATTAACATACTTATATTAAGATTTCAGTAAAAGTGCCTAGTTTTCTCTTGACAGTTTTGGTGAAATTCATCCTTTCCCTTCCTGCTTTGGAAGTAGATGTGTACAGAGATGTTTCCTTACTTATACCATACTGTGAACAAGGACCTATGTTGCCGTGTGATACTGCGCAGCTTTGGTCTGACACAAGAAAAAACAGCACAGGAGAGTCTGAACAAAGGTCAGGTGGAGGGAGAGGTCATCTTAGGAGGGAGGGGCCAGGTAAAGGGGAGGGTGCCAGGTGAGAGAGGTGCCAGGTGAGATGAGATGCCAGGTGAGAGGAGGTGCCAAATGAGGGCTGGGACCAGGTGAGACAAGGTGCCAGGTGAGAGAAGGTGCCAGATGAGACGAGGGACCAAATGAGAGGAGGGGCCAGGTGAGGGGAGGGGACCAAGTGAGAGAGGTGCCAGGTGAGACAAGGTGCCAGGTGAGGGGAGGGTTCAGGTCAGGGGATGGGCCAGGTGAGCGGAAGTGCCAAGTGAAAGGAGGTGACAGGAGGCACCAGGTGAGAGGATGTGCCAGGTTAGGAGAGGGGTTAGGTGAGGGGAGGGTCCAAGTGAGACGAGGTGCCAGGTAAGAGGAGGGGCCAGGTGAAAGGAAGTGCCAGGCGAGGGCAGGGTCCAGGTGAGAGGAGGTACCAGGTAAAAGGAGGTGCCAAATGAGGGCTGGGATCAGGTGAGAGAAGGTGCCAGGTGAGACAAGGGACCAAATGAGAGGAGGTGCCAGGTGAGAGGAAGTGCCAGGTGAGAGGAGGTGCCAGGTGAGAGGAGGTGGGGCCAGGTGAGAAGAAGTGCCAGGTGAGAGGAGGTGCCAGGTGAGAGGAGGTGGGGCCAGGTGAGACGAAGTGCCAGGTGAGAGGAAGTGCCAGGTGAGACGAGGTGGGGCCAGGTGAGAGGAGAGGCCAGGTGAGGGGAAGTGCCAGATGAGGGCTGGGACCCGGTGAGACAAGGTGCCAGGTAAGACGAGGGGCCAGGTGAGACGAGGTGCCAATTTAGGAGGGAGGAGTCAAGCAAAATGAGGAGGAACCTATTTCACATCAGCCAACTACTAGTAACAAAAAATATAAGATGGTATCTTTAACTGACATAAAACTATCATATTGACCACAGATACTATCCAATCAAATGAAATAAGAATTATAAAAACATGAAGATGAGTCCCATGCACTTAAATTATAATAACCCTACAGGACATAAACAAGAGGAGACAAAGGGATCTCTTGTCTTGGGCCCCAGGGTTTTAAAGGCCCTAAATAGGCCCTGCTACTTAAAACAGCTGAGCAAATCTGTAAATACAAATTGTTTATAGTGATTTAAGATATTATAGGTGCAAAATGGCTGCTCTCAAATCTGTTTTTGTGAATGAAATGAGAACCAATAATGCACCAATCGTATTTAGGAATAAGACAGATGAAAGTAGTGAATAATGAGTGCAGATATGAGGCAGTGAGGAACAAGAGTGTGCTGATGGATGGGCTCCTGTCAGCTCTACACTGGCTCTGATTGGCAACATCTCTCTGCTCATTTGTCTCCATTTGTCCAATTTAAGGGTTCATGGGAGCACGAGAGACAATTAAAGGAGTTAGTTCATTTGAGTTTGAAAGCCTGATGCAATTCATGTTTTGGGGATTGTAAAAATGCATCGACGATAGTTTGACGAATAAAGGTGCACTGTGGGATATTTCTGGTGGAGTGTCAGATACCTGCTGGTTTCCACAGATATGTCAAGGCCTTACCTGGAATGTTTTTTGGTAAAGATGCTGCAAGTGTTTGTTTCGTCTTCAAATGTGTAAAACAAAACATTAAAAAGAAAAAAAAAGTTTGCAGTACGGCTCTCCCTTCATGAAGAAGTTGCCGATACGATACATACCTCGATACATAGGTCACGATACAGTACATATCTCGATACAGTGCACTTTTGATTTGATACATTTCAAATTGATTCGATATGGTTCAATGAAAAATCATTTCTAAATCATGGCTGTGACACTAAAAGTCTTTGTTAAACCACTTCTTCTACAAAGTAAATATGAAACACACATTTTAATCATCAAAACGAGTTGCGAACAAAACTGTAGCGCTGTAAGAAAATAATTTAGTAAAATATACAAAAAAATACCCTTGGTGATATATCGATACAGTAGCCCACAATATTGATACTGTATCATCACATTAAATGATACGATATATGGATATTTCAATATTTTTGCACACCTCCAGTTTGCAGTGGTCCAAAGTTACTCCTCACTTACCATATGCATTTAGATCAGACTGGGTCACAACCCTCAAGAGGGTCACAAGAGATTTTTTTTGAGTCGCCTTGTCACGATCTGCATGTAGGTCTGTAATATACAGTTTTGCCCTGTACGCCTAAAATGCATGTTACGCTCTCCTACTGCAACCAGACTGGAGCACGCTACAGAAACACAGACAGGTTCACCTATCTCATTAGAAATGTTGAAATATTAAGACATGTTTTGTATAATTTATAATGTTTTTGATGGTTCAATTGAATGTTGAAAAGAAAAAGAAATGGGTTACATTTAATGTCCAAATAGGCGACTTGTGGATCCTTTTATTGCTGCTTCAATGATTCATTGTTCATTCATTGTTTTAAACTTGAGTAAGAGTAATTGTTCAGAAAGTCACAATCACTCAATAAAACATGTTGTATAATGGTCAAATCAAAATCCACCTTTATTTTGTGATTCATGAATAATGTCTATTGACTTGGGTCATGAAAGTTTATGACTTTTAAAATATGGGTCCCCGGAAAAAAAGTTTGGGAAACACTGGTTTAGATCTTCCCAGTTATTCACTGTAATGATTTTAAAAGCATTTTTCACAACTTTGAGAGACCAACGCCAGTGGTGTCACAGTGGCAAAGACTAGCATGTTAACAACACCCTTCCTGATTTTCAGAGGATAAGAGCTGTCATTAGAATAGAGACAGACAGCGCACACTGTTCTAAATTTTTTAAAAAGATACTTATACAATATGGTTTTGCTCAAAGACATGGAAGTAAATAAGGTCATCTCAAATAACATTACAGTCACAAGTTATTTGGCAGTTTTTCAGTTACGATATTTTCATGATACGCATCTCATGGTAATATTTATTACAATATTTTGGAGAGGCCAATCTAATTGCAGATAGGATACTTTTTTGCTTTTAAAATACCTTGACAATATTTTGGTGTGAATCATTACCATCATAATCCCTAGAATTCAAGTAAAAAACATATTTCTTCATTTTGTCTGCACTGAAATGAATCATGGGATATGTAGTTCTCTACGTTTATTAGCTTTTGCTACTATAAAACAATACATTTAAGCAAAGGAACTTACAATTCGATAGTGGTATTATTGTGAGACTTTTGATGATACAATTAGTTACGGTTAGTCACTCTCTTTTTGTTGAAAATCAAACGCCTCAACAGGACCATGAGCGCATGGACTGATCATAAGCTCCTGAAAATGTGCTGTTTAAATACATTTTGTATTTTTTCTTGAATCTTGAATCTTAAAACTTTTCTGACAGTGTGTTAAAGTGTGCATTGTGTCTCCATGGTAAACAATGAACATTCTGTCAGCACACATACATGTAGGACCCCGCTGACTGCAGAGTATCAGCTGTGTATTAATCTTGTTGTGTTAATCTTTTGGAGAATATCTGTTCATGTATTTATAGATAATGCGTTTAATGATTTTCTATATATTACTCATAAATATAGGTTAAAACATTGACTCAGCCATAGAGTTATATAGGCCCCTGCCCTCCATCAGAAATTATGACGTCATAAAATTGGAGAATGTGCTTGCAGCTAGTTAGTCATAAGACATTAAAGTTAACAGCCTGCTACTTCAGCCATATTTACTGTTGCGACTCACAGTAACAGCCCCACAGAGAGCTGACCTTTGACCCATATTAATAATAATCTTTCACACGGAGATGGGCACTGGTCCTCATGATGGTGTTATGACTAATTCAGTGACCCTTCATTGCAGAGACACGGGGGCGGATGCACACAGGGGGAATATGGCCCCATTCTGTCACTGTGGTCCAGCCTAGAAACGAGGAGTGTTTATCCTCCACACTAAAAGAGGTTCATGTACACGTGATATTTATTTCACACCAGACTGTAAACAGGTTCAGAGCTTCCAAGACTCTGAACGCTCCAGACAGGTCCTGACTGCTCCTCCACAAGCCGGGTTATTATTTATCTTTAAATGCATTAATCTCAGTTTTCCTGAACATCTCAAACAGTATTTAATTCCATTCAGATCCTCTTACAGTTTACGTCACGCAGATCAGATTTTTGTTGTCCCAAGAGTCATAAAAACAAATAGGAAAACACTCATTTAAATATATTCGCCCACTGATCTGAAGGTTGGTGGTTCGATTCCAGCTCTCGACATAAACATCACAGGTTGAGCGTTCAGATCCACTGACCCACAGGTTGGCTGGTGTGATTCCAGCTCCCACAGATGAATGCTGTCGTTGTGTCCTTGGGCAAGACACTTAACCCACAGTGTCTGCATACACGGGTGTGTGAATGTGTGTGAATGTGTGTGAATGGGTGAGTGGTTCCTTGTTGTAAAGTGCTTTGAGTGCCTTGAAGGTGGAAAAGCGCTGTAGAAAAATGTGACCATTTACCATGTGACCAACTTCTGTCCCTTCATTTAAAAATGCTCTGGTTCAATATTTACAGAATCTGTGTAATTGTTTTTGATCATTTTGTTGAATTTTGTTGTTCATCTGTGATTATCTTTGAACTACTCAGTTTTATGATGATGATGATGAGTATTATTATTATTATTATTATTATTATTGTTATTATTATTATTATTAATATAATAATAATAATAATAATAATAATAATAATAATAATATGTTATTTATTTTATGTATTATTATTATTATTATTATTATTATTATTAATAATAATAATAATAATAATAATAATAATAATAATATAATAATAATATGTTATTATTTTATTATTATTATTATTATTATTATTATTATTATTATATATATTTATTATATTTTTAATTTATTTATTTTATTTTATTTTTTATTGGTTTTATTATGTGTCAAACAGTCAAGTGTGAGTGAGTGTGTGACTGTGTGTGTGTGTGGTTGTGTTGATTTTGTTGTTTTGATGCTTATTTGAACTTATGTATCCTACTGTCTGCCCAACTGTATCTGTCTTTTGTCGTTGTATTTATGAGGACCCCCTCGAAATCCAGATGGGGAGACATCTCAAGGGGCTTATCCTCCAAACAAATAAATTCAAATTCAAACAAGCGATCACATACTATTGATCACATCTCAGAACATTTCCGTTTTCACCTCCTATCTCCACCCTTGGGATTATTCAACAAAATCTCAGACTGGGTTCATACATGTAGAGTTCAAAAATATTACAGAACTTTATTTAATGGGGACAAAAAAAACAAAACAAAAACAAAACATAAATTGTGCTTGCAGTGGAATGACAGAATATTATTTTGAAGGAAGATTAACGTTAAACTTTATCATACCCGCAGGGAAAAGTGTCCTCTGCATTTGACCCATCTTTCAGTGCGACTGGAGCAGCAACCAGGAGCAGTGAGCTGCGCATGGAGACCCACCTCCAGATGTTGAGCCAGGTCTACTTATTTGGAGAATTTGACCTTGTGCATGTTTTGGGTTGATGAGGAAACCAGAATTCTCCGGAACTCCACACAGAAAGGCCTGAGTGACCCGGAAAATGAAACCGGAACCTTCTTGCTGGGTGGTCAGAGTGCTCGCCACTCAGCTGAAAATATTTATTACTAACTTCAAAATGTTTAAGTTGATGTCGATAGGTAAAAAATGCATATAGAAAATCTGAGAACAAAAACAAGGCACTTTATTCATCATGGATATTAAGGCTACGTTTATATGATGACGGTCTGAACAAAAGACGCAAAAGAGGCGTTGCGTCTTCATTTTTTATTCCGAGTTTAGACAAGCGTTTTGGGGAGGAAGTTGCCATACAAACAGTGACTCAAAAGTGTGTGGAATTGGATTTGGTATGCATGCCAGGCAGCTAGGTGGTGACGCTAGGTGGTGATGTATGTGACGTAAAAGTGTACACAACGTGAGCAGATCTGACCAGAGTTTTGTGTCAGATCTGCATTTTTAATTTTTCCACTCTGGAGGGTGGTTTCAGATTTTTGCATTTTTAAGCCCAAAAACGGCATCACCATCTAAACCGGGGGTGCCCAAACTTTTTTCATCAAGGGCCACATCTCTAAACTCAGACAAAGCAGAGGGCCGATCGAGGGCCCTAGACTGGAGCTCAATACAGCGAATAACTGAAATATGTGCATGTTTAAACTCGTTAGAATGAGCCAGTCATCAGTCTTTAGTGGTTTTAAGGATCTTAGCTTGAATAAACACTAAATATTAAATATTTGCTTTATTAAGGTAGATTTTCAAAAAACTTGCAGTGAAAAGTATACTTTTAATTGATGCAAGGTACTTTGGGCCAATCCATCTGGAAGCTTGAGGGCCAAGAAAAATTTGTCTGAGGGCCACATTTGGCCATGCCTGGTCTAAACGAAAGGCACTTCTGATCAAATATTTTGTTGTTCTTACCCGCAAACATTCTCTTGTAAATAGGCCCTAAGGATAAAAACTTAAAGAGGGCGCAGATCAGATTTAGCGTGTCTCCGTGGTTTTATTATTATTATTAAAGGTTGTATGGAGGATTTTTTTAGTATCAAATTGTCAATGGAAGTTCAAAATAGAATTATAGAGATGCAACAGACTTGAAATTAAAAAAATTGTGGATGTGGTAGGGCTGCCACATTATCTAAAAAAAACAACTATTTTCTTCATTATTTGTCTCTAAAACCAAAATGAATAAACAGATAACGATTCATTTTTTCAGTTTTCGATTTTGTGTTTAAATGAATAAAGGAAAAAACGGATAACGTCCGTTTCCTGTTTCCGTGACTTAAACTGCGATGCAGGATTTTTGTGCCGCATGCAGACTGAACCACGACTGAATCAGGACTAAAACAAGACTAAACCAGGACTAAACCGTTTTCAGTCCCGGTCTCAGTCTTGGTCTGGTCCCTGTCTGGTCCCAGTCTCAGTCCCAGTCCTGGTCCTGGTCCCAGACTCGGTCCTGGTTTGGTCCCAGTCTAAGTCCTGGTCTCAGTTCCGGTCTAGCTCTGGTCTGGTCGGACCTGGTTTAGTCCTGTTTCAGTCCGTATGAGGCACAAAAGTTCCTTTTTTTCCATTATTCATTTAAACACAAAATCGAAAACTGAAAAATCAAATCATTAGCTGTTTTGTTTTTTTTCATTTTGGTTTTGGAGACAAATAATGAAGAAAACTGTTTTTTCATTTTCTTATTTTTGGTTTTATATTGAACATTGAATGAACAAATGATACACTGATTTAAGGTGATTCTTGGAGATTCCTTCCAACGATGGTGTGACTGAAGCAGACGACGGGTGTAAAGACTGACGCATTGGCTAAATGACTTCTGGACAGGAAACTTCAACAGCAATTCTGAACGTGCAGCGGCTGTAAACAAACATGATTTCTCACATAAGGAGGAGGTAGCTGCTGCGGAGGAGGAAGGGGGTGTCACACATGCACAACATTTGAAAACGGACAAACAGTCGCTGGATTTGTCTTTCCTTGGAAAATTCTCTATACAGCCTTTAAGTCTTTCGCAATATTGCCAGTTTCAAGGTAGAAAATGTAAAATGATGTTATAGCTTAAAACTAAATACCCTCTGACATCTCCATGGACACAACCATGCAGCGGCCTCCTACTAAAAAGTCCCACAGTGCAGCTTTAATGTGTTAAATGAGTGTGTTTACCCTGTACGTGTCGTGACCCCGTCCCTGTATTTAATCGTATCTTTATGTCCCGTGTAACTCAATCCTCGCCTGTATTTATTTGTGGAATGCCTTTGAAGCCGATGGAAACTTCTGCATTGTGGCTGTTGTGTCTGGCCCACTCCCCCGCTGAGGAAACATCTAAACACACATGAAAGAAGCCCACCAGCCCTAATGGGACCTCCACACGTGAGCAGACCACCTCCATGCCGGCACCACAGAGCGTACCTTTCTTGGAGGTCTGGTCGTCACAGTTCTCGTAGGTACATGGACCCCAGGCACCCCAGGGAGACACTTGGCACTCGATGGGGCAGGGGAGGTGGCACAGCTGGGACCGGTTTGGCATGGGACCCTCGCACAGTCTGTTTTCCACCGGCGGAGAAGCTGTAGAGGCAAAACACAAGGATATTAAGAACATGGACTTATAACACCTCTGATGCAATGTAGTAGGGCCCGACCGATATGCCTTTTTTTTTCTTTTGGCTGATATGATGCAGATAAAATGGGAGTTGGAGGTTTAAGATAAGATAGCCGATATATTTAGTGATGTAAAAATTCACTATAAATCTTCAACTGATTATAAAACTTAGGTCTGGCTCTACTGGATTTTAAATTGGGTTTGTTTGGGCGACATTTATTGTTATTCTGCCTTTTTACGTCATATTTAAAGACAGTCGGTCGGCCTAAAGGCGTTTTTGCATCACATTCTAGCAAGTAAAGAAAGTAAGTAAACTACAAATATCAGCCTTTAGCAGTAAATGCGTGCGCGCCGCGGTAATTAATTATGTGTAAATGCGAATGATTCACACCTCGATTCACAGCTCATTTACATATCAATGCAGCTCCAGTAATGTAATGCCACTATAGTCACTTTACACTAGACCAATGTAAGAAAACAAACTGTTTATGTGAGGGAGCCACAGCAGCTAAGCACTAACCAATGAGAAAGAACCAAAAAGAGCTTTAAAAACCAACACATTTATAAGAATCACTGCTCACACAGGCCTTTCTCAGATCACAAGTCTGCACAAATAAGTGTCCTTTTAATCCTGACTCAAAATGATTATCCATCAATAAAATATCCTACAGCATGTTGACAGCAGCAACAACAATGTGTCCTCTGTCTATGGGACAGTGGCACCTTGATAAAACATGCAGTAGTTTTATTGTTGGCCTAAACTGCACTGAAGTTCACTTTTATTTTTACTCAGTATCGTGGTTCAGACATGAGAGCATTTAAAGCAGCGTCTCAGTGTTGCGCATGGATCTATGGCTTTGTACGGATGTAAACATGTGCACATGAGTGATGTGACATTTGTCAGGGGCAGTACGGCCACAGACACATACAAATGAGTCCACAGATAAATCCTGATGCAGCGCCACATATTAAGACATTTATCTGTCTGTAAATTAGATTAAATGGGCATAATATAGAGAGTCTAAGCTTTATAACAAGGGATAACATGCCCACATGGACTATTGGCCCATATCGATTTAGTCCAATAGCCGATATCTCCGAGTGCCCATATCGGCCAATAATATCGGCCAACTGATATATTGGTTGGGTCCTACATTGTAGCTTCATAAGGCAGATATACAGTGGTGTAATGTCACCTGATTTTGTGTCTTGGCCCCAGTACAGATATATATATATATATATATATATATATATATATATATATATATATATATATATATATATATATATATATATATATATATATATATATACTGTAGGAGCAGCTCTTGAGGTCAAAATGTCAGATGTGCACTGTCTGCATTATGTAACTTCTGCTTTTTTCATGGAGATGTTTTAGCTTAACCTGGAAGGGTCCACAGAACAGCATTAAATTTATTCATCTCCATGGAGACACTAGGCTAAAAATTACTGCTCAAATCTGCAGTCAGGCCACCCCCCCTCACTGTAAGAATGTTTGTTTTTCCAGGTATATTTGAGCGACAAAGCGCTGAATTCATTTGATGTATTTACTTATTTAAAAAAAGGTGGAACAGTGCACATTAATGACCATTAGACACTGCAGAACATTCAAGGCAAAGCAATATTATCTCCATAAACCATCCAAAGCTCTTTACAGTCCATTATTAATTCCAGTTGATACAGATAAGCTCCTAATGCAGCCATAACTGCCCTGGGGTAGACTGACAGAAGTGAGGCCGCCAATCTGTGCCATCAGCCCTCTGACCAACAACATCAGCTCTCACACACCACATTTATACTAGGTGAAGTGTCTTGCCTAAGGACACAACAACAGATTTTGTGTTTAGAGCCCCACTGTGGCACCTGGTATCCCAAGCAAATACTAACCAGATCTGATGAGATGTGGGATTACAAGAAGGTACAGCAACAGGCAATCGGGTCTCTGCAATAATTGGATCTATGAGCCGATATATGAGTCCTTTGATCTGCTAAAAGGACTCTTGTGAGATTTAAGCCATGTTAGAATGTTGTTACCTCCTCAAAAACACCCCAAGTTGTGTTTTGTTTCATTTACACAAGGGCCCAGTCAAGCAGAAGTAAACATCAAGGCCAAAAATTCAAGTTAATGCATCTGATATAAAAATGTATTGAACAGATACATATGTACTCTAGTTTATGAAACTGTTTACCTTTTTTCTGAACCATTTTTGGTTCTAAAGTTCCATATGTTTTAAACAGACCATGTATGAAACATGTCATGTCAATAAATGGATGTATTTCATCATATCTTGTGTTATTCCATCTTTGAACTGTTGATGAAGGGACATGATTTATTAAAATGTATTTAAAATGATAAACATTTGCTTGGAAGGACTGACATATTTTATAGAAATAGTTTCCTTTCATTTTGAAGTAATATTAAAGTATTCAGAAGAAAAAAGTTGACAAATGATGTAAAATCCTGCACCTTCTACTTGTTTGCACAATTTTCCCTCCGTTACTTTTCCCTCCGTTACCATGACCTTTCTTAATAAAAAATCTCATGAGTCAAAAAGTAAGAGGTTTTTCAACCTAATCTTGTACCATATGGTAGAAAACTATATGAAGCAAATATTCAAACCAGTTTGTTAAGGATATGGAAGTGAGAACCAAGAGTTATCACTGTTTGGATTTATTGCCCAAAAAGTGCTGCATATTTCATTCCCTCCGTTACCGACATGAGTTTTAAATTTTTTGTCAACAACTTGAAAGAATATCACAGGTTTAACTTGACCCTGTTGGAGTGTAACTCTTTCCTACATTCTGATACTTTACTTATTTCAATAGTCCCTCTAGTTTCTGAATAAGAGACATTTGAATGTCAAAAATCTGCCCGTTTCCCTCCGTTACCACTTGACCTCGTGATGTCATGAAGCGGTAGTTTTCAAGCTTTTCAGTCTTACTTTTAGTTCATTAGAGATTTGCAATTCCAGGGGTGAACTTATCCAAATAATTCTAGTGAAGGTGTCTGACATTTAAAAACACAATGGAGCACTTGCTGTATTACCACATGACATCACACGATGGAACAAAGTTTTCTATTCGAGAGAAAAACTCAGCCTAAATACGCAAGATTTGTGTGTTAAACATGTGTGAACGAAGCAAAACACAACTCCAGGTCTGTTTGCGACGAGGAAACGACATTAGAACATAGATCAGGACTTCGTGTGATATGGGCTCTTTAATATTATGATAATGAAATGAAATGAGTTTTACTTGTAGAACTCAAAGTGCCCTGCTCACTCTGCATACATAAATATATGCAAATGAGTGATCAAAGTTAAGCCTGTCCACATGGCTCTATAAATAACAGAGATACAGGAAGCACACACCTGCAGCTTTGAAGTCTGTTTAAGTTAGAACTCACGAAAACAAGCCCTACTTTATACACTGTACTTTCTACATGCAGTAAAAATACACAATCAGGATATTTTGAGTATTTTAGTACATTTACTCTTCCTATTTACAGTAAACTTATGTTCCATGGTGTAACCTTAAACATATCCATCTAGCATTTATACATTACAGATGTTTCTGTTGCTCAAAAATACAATAATTCCATCTGTGAATAGAGACGACTCTCCACAGACCTGAACTGTTACTGTAACTGCTTGTCCCCCTCATGGTAGACAGGTTTAATCTATACTGTGGAACATTCTAGACGGAGCGATAACATCTCGATGGAGACAAGCAGGTGGCAGACCCTCCACTAGAAATGTTACACAGTGCACCTTTAAAGGCATTAAAGTCAGAGCTAGTTTAAACAGTTTGCAGAGCGTCCTAGTGAGGGATGGTAAAATGTTCTTAATCGACCGTTGGGAGAATTAACGATCGATTTTTGTTTAATCATTATCATTTTTATATCAAAATGATCAGAATTATTATGACTATTACTAATCTGCATAAATAAACTCAACTTTACAACATATAAACATCACCACTCTAGAGCCACATCAGCCCGTTTGACATTATCATGTGTTTAATTCAGCTTTGACACATTTGTTTACGTTTTACAGAAATGAAACCTAAAACCACATGACTCATTTGCATAAACTATAAGCTCTGAAAAACACAGCTCACTCCAAAAGACATGACTCAGTGGAATATGAGTGTTCTCTCTGTGACAGATCAGTAATCAAGAGATAACTGAGATAATCACTAATTAGAACAGTTCCTTTCTCTTTCAGTGTAGCCATTAAAATTCTAATTGGAACAAAAATAATTTCCATTTCTTGTTTTTCTGGTGATACACACAAACTGATCTACAGTCACACAACTAACATACACACAACTCATGAAAAATGACATTTTGGTTCCACACTAGTAAACACAGACATTCTCATGTGTGACCAACATCACACTAATGTTCATGGGCCTGTACAGATACACACATTACACTGTGGATATAACGATCATGTAATATGGGCTGGGCTCCTCATAAACTGCTTCTGTGCTGATGAACTGACTCCACCGACGCCTCATGGGGACCAGGTTGATGTCTCGGACTTTTTCACTCACTTTATTTATGTTCATCACTTTATTTATTTTGGCTTCTGTTGTAATGAAAAGACTGAAAAGTGTTTGTCTTTTGGACGCATGTGCACTCAACTTTATGTTGTAGTCACCAGGATACTGCGTTTACATGCACCAAGACGAAGCCGGGATACTCAAAACACCTGATCATACCCGAGACACTGATGTGCTGTAAACACACTCAGCGCGCAGTGATACGAACGGAGAGAAAATAGTGCCAAGCGATTATGAGGTCAGACTTTTTTGAGGGCGATGGTTTTGTGATGTAAATGTATCACTCTTTTGAACACATATTGTTTTGAGAAGAAAAACGCTTTATTTTACTGTCCCCAGCCAACTTGCCGGACTACTTTCGTCAGCACCGAAAACGGCC